ATAATTTCGCGAAATTAAATTCCTAACGAGGATCAAGAATTTGTTTGAAATTATTAATAACGCCCTGCGTATATTTTGTTTGCTTCGACATCCACTCGAAATTACACGAAACTACACGAAACTACACGATCAAAACATCGTACAGTGCAGAAAATGTTCACCGTGTTAGCGATTCAAAAATGCAAACGTGGAGGAAAGATTGTGAGCGTTCGCTTTCGTACGTGCTTGCTTCATGCTGAAAAAGGCCGCTTGTTATTCCTCTTACGTTACATAACACCATGCAATGCTCGCTGTCGATGGACAATATCTACACGATGACAATTTGCACAGTCACTCGAACACCGAAAAGTCAAAATCCCAAAGTTCTTCGATCAACAGGCAAAAAACATTTCGCATCCGTTCGTTTTCCTTCTGATCCTTATCCACTTTCTACAAACTTAATTCCTGTTCGCAACTCTCTTTGAAATTCGCCTGTCTCGCGCGGAATCCTAATTTCGAGTCTTTTCTCCCTATCGGCTTTCCCGAAAATAATCACAGCACAGAGCGTCAAAAGCTTCTACGTTCGACGAACCTGTAAAATTAAAGAAATCAGCTGATGCGACCATCGAGCTTGCATACTCCCATGTACGAATAATTAGCTAGCGACCGAGGGATCTCGTTGATTCGACAACCAGCACCAGTAACTACGTACCGCTCCTATATGTATAGCCGAATATTGATAGAAACGTTTTACAGAGGCCGAGAGTCACGCTGGTATTAGCCGAGCAGTCGCAATTAGATTTCGTATTTCTGATTGATCTCTAAGCCTAGCTAATTGACTCTTAGCGTAGCGGAAGGGAACAGCCGGGTGACGGCAGGGGGCGGGTGGGGATTGGACGTATAATTCTCTGTCCCGACTTCTAGAATAAAATTTTACCCGTTGTTTCCTCGATAGGTTCTCGTCGCCCTAGCTTAACGTCGGTTCACAGTTCGACGTCCTCGGCCCGTAGTTATAGCGCTCGACGACTCGAAAAGGAGAGAAACGAGAAGGAGCAACGACAGGCGTTGCAGGAACTCAGGCTGGCCAAACAGCGGGAACAACAGCAGCAACAACAGCAACAGATCGCCCCTACGCCTAGTCCTAGAACTCCGCACTCTATGGACGAGCTGTTGCCATCCGTGGAGGAAGGAAAGGAAGTGTTTTATAACGAGGTATTTTATAGGAACATTAGGTGCGTCGATTCGTTCAGTACCTAGTTGATCCTTTCGACGCTAACTTATAACGTAAGAATTTATAATTTACCGATTATAACGTAATTGCCTGCCAAGCTATTCGATATTGAAAAAAGTGTTTCAAGCTGAAGCTAAATTAATTTAGACGTCTGACAATTATAACTCTTCTTCCGCGATTTATCCCCCTGTATTCAGCGATCTGAATTTTAAAGCTACCCTAAAGCTACTTAAATTCCAAATAATTCTCAGTCCCGCATTGAAACGTTGGGGTACACTAGCAGGTGCCGACCGCAACGGACATGACCGAAGAAACACCAGCGAAAACGACAGCCATTACGACAACCAACGTGAACGCGACCAGATTCGGTGAAATGACTCCCGTCACGACCTCGACAACGTCCATCTTCGAAACGAACATCGCACCCCGTGCCACCGGTGACATCTTTCAAGTGTAGTTAAGGACTAGAAATATCGACGAACTCGTAACTCACACGTGACTCGAATCGAATGGTTACAAGCCAGTGAAGAGACGTTAGTAAATTCAATACATGAACACGTAGCAGCACAGTTCCGAATCGTATATAACAAAAACAAGAAGATAATGTCCCGAGTTTAAGAACAAAGAGAAAATAAATAAATAAATAACATGGCTGAAAACGTCACGTGCCTAAGAGATAAACGGCTAAAACAAAGGGAAGTGCACGTGTAAGATGCTCTGTCACGGACGCGGTGCTCGAATGAGAAGAAATTGTAGACAAAAGGTACAAAGAAGGTCGCTAAGTTGTTAAAGTTGAAGTTTTGCTTGTGCCACGCGCGAAGGCCTAGAATTTACTCTAAAATGATACGTTTTTATTAAAGCTAGGTGCAAAATGATATGTACCTGGACGTTAAGCCAGCTCTGAGTATTTAAAAAATGAGTATAAAAACGCGAGATCGAATCGAAGTTAAAATCGTTCAGTGATAAAATACGTAAGATTCGGGAGTATATGTGAATCCTGGACGTAGGTGCGGGGGAATACGAAGTTGTACCTGAATATAGAGGTGGTACGTGCCGTGTATTTAAGGGTTCAGAAATTTTCAGCGGAATTCTGACCCCGTAGTGGAGGGTTCTTTGTCCGTAATGGTTACAAAATTCAGATGACATCTTTCGGATAATTTACGTGCGTTATAAATCCCGAGAGTATAATTTCTAAACGACGAGAAATTCTTCGATCGAATGCTACTTCTAAATAGAATTTCCTAATTACGAAACTTTTGCAAAACTTGTAATCTTTTAAAACTTTTTCAACTGTTTCTTTATCCTTTTTTGTAAAACGATATTAAAACAGCAAGGCACGAAGTTTTGTAATAGCTGTAACTCGTTTCGAATTTTTGTCCCTTTACGGACAAGAGGAAGAGTGGAGTTGGTATTCCAAATGATTTTTTACGGCTTAAATTTTTTAAGCATTTACGGATCATTGGTTCGACGATAGAATTTTTTACAATGATTCGAACGATTATTACGAGCAAAAGCGGGTGATCTAACATAGAAAAAAAATCGAGCTTCGAGTCAACAGTTCGATGCTTTGTGTATTAACTCTTCGTACCACGATGCTCTGTTTACTACGATTTACTTACGTATCAGTCTAATCGTTTTTCCAAGTAGGAACGAAATTAGGTTACAAACGAAGATTTTACCGATTTAAGAAGCGCAACGTTAAACTACATAGTTCTTACTCGTTGTTTCTTTGTACCTTACCAATAACTTCTTACTATGCATTTAATCACATATCAACAATGAAAAAAAATGATGCCAGTTTTAAACGAATTGTTCGAGATACTAGAGAGAAAGATGGAAAAATAATTATCATATTATTTCTATAACTATTTACGGCAATACGCCAAATCACATGGTTATATTCGGTAGAAGAGAACGATTATTGCCATAAATGTTTTGCCTGAAAATTAACTCAAACTTTGTATTATCATGTATTTAGAAAGCACAAAGAAAGGAACATGCTATGTCCATATACATATTTCGTTTTGTGTAAAAAGATATTGATATACCGATACGTTCGATCGTTTCGTTTGCTCGAACCGACTTAGCTGCGATAAGAAAAAACAATTGGCAGGGCATTCTCGAGTGGGTCGAGGCTAAATATACCTCTAATCTTAGGTAAATTACTCTGTGACAACTAAATAGAAAAACGTGAAAGATATCGGGCTGGTGCTTGGACGCACACAACGATGTGGCACCAGCAAGAATCGTGCAAAAAAAAGCTACAAAAAATAAGAAAATATGCAAAAAATTGTGCTACCACTATTGCGATCTCGTAATCTCGCTTCTCTGCGACCGAAACTGCGTGAAGCACGAGCGGTTTCTCTCTTTTCCCTCGCTTTTTCTCCGGTGAACGCACTTTGACCAAAAATCCAATTTGAACACACGCGTTACGAAAATCAGAATGAAAGAAAACTCGTTTCGTCGTGCGTTTCTCCCTCAGAGATACGAAATTATTTATCACGAATCGAACAACTCGTTTTAGGTACATTGTGCAAATTAGACGATTAAATATTTCTCGTTCCCGTTTGACGATCCGTGACGAACCGCTACTTTATAGCATACGATCACGAAATATTACGAAAGAGTAATTTCTGCGGCGAAGAAACGAATGAAAAATGAACGACATAATTTGAGTACGTTTCTGTTCCCGTTTGTTAAATTAATCGTCGTTGAGTCTTTTTTCTTTCTTTCTTTTTTCTTTGTAATTGTTTGTTTAAATGCCAATGTAAACCGTCTCGTTGCATCGGTGCATACGATTTTCTCGAGTCGCTCGACTCGCCAATGTAAATTGTAGAGATAAAAACAATCGTTAAAAGCAAATTATATATATTCTATATATACATATTCTATATATACATGTATATACGTAAGAAAGCAAACATGCACGAGGGGCTGTGTGGAATTTCACCAAAAGCGAAACTGATAACCATAAAAAGAGAGAGAGAGAGAGAGAGAGCAACATCCCTTGTCTATATAGAACGAGAGAACAATTAAACAAAAGAGAAAAATATGAAAAAACGTGTATCAACATCTCGTGTTCGAATAATTACGCTGCCTTTCCCGATCAAATAATAACTAAATAAATCTAAAAGAAGAATAGGAAAAGAAACACAGTAACAAAAATACAGAGAGAGAGAGAGAGAAGAAGAAGAAGAAGAAGAAGAAAGACGTAGAAACGAGAGTCTTAAGAACGTTCTTGCGACTACGCGATTCTACGTTGTAAATGTTTGCGTGAACGAAGTCATTGAATCATTGTTACACACATACACACGCGCACACACAAAAAAAACCAAACACACATACATGATCCTCCCCAGCAAACAAAAGATACGATAAAAAAAAGGATAAAAAAAACAGAGCATATAATGGCGACGATTGCACACCCAATTTATCAAAATCGATCGTATTCGAACGATTGCCAGTCTCTATTAAAACACACCGAAGGTATTTAAATTCTAATGAATTATATCGCCACAACCCCGCATATTATTATCATTATTATTATCGTGATTATTATGATTATTATTATTACGAGATGATTCGATTCGACCCGCTGCCTGATTTCTAAAAACCGAAGAAACGAACAGAGAGATTCAAAAAACGGTCGATGTTCAACGTTATCGTTTTATTCTATTTTAAATGTTTACTGTATAATAAAATTGTAATATAGTCGTTGGGCGAATAAAGCTCGTTTTTCGATATACATATACACACATGTCACGGAACCAGTGTTGCACCTTTCGCCCCCCATCCATAAAAGTTTGTTTTATTTTTTCTCCTTGCTTTTAATTTCATGCCAATTCTGCTTCTATCGAATGAAAGTGCTTTACAGTGTCACGCATAAGTCACGCTGAAACATTAAATCATGTATGAACCCCCATATTATCAGATCAATTAGCAAACTACGCAAGCCACGAATTCTCGAATTAAAAGCTCAATATTCCGTGTTGTCCCTAAGAAAACGTATCGTTTCGAGGAAACCTCGTTCTTTGATATTTCTCTCGTAAAGTAGAAACTTTTAGTAGAAGACTTTTAGAAATATTAGTAAAAAGAATTAACCGCCATGGAGGAAGAGATAAACTTCCGAGTGGAGAGTAATCCGACGAAACCAGAAAATACATTACGTCCAATAATGTATATTTCTTGGTTGTTAGGAGTCGGAGTGGCTAGGCCGAAGAATTGTCCAAAATGGATCACCGTCATCCTGCGAGTGATCCATTTCAGCGTGTGCTCGGTGATCATCGCGTTCAGTGCAATGGACTTTGCAAATTTTGGCAAACAATTCACCAGCAAGTTATTCGAAATTATGTACTGCATGAACGAAACTGTGTGCCATCTCGCAGCCTATTACTACGTTTGTCATATAATAAGACATTACGATAAATGGCCTGAATTGATGAAGATGTTGGAATCGTTGAATCAAAATATTAGCAAAGGGTTGTCGATCAATGATGAATGCGTGAAGATCAGCCAAATCTTGGCCATTATAATAGCGTTATTATGTGGTCCAGTGTCGCTAGCTGTTCATATCCTTTATTATTATTTCATTGCACCTGATCAGATCTTTGTTTCCGATCTGTTTCTCTATTACACGATCGCGCAAACTTTAGTAAACAGCTTCGTGTTCGATGTCATCGTATACATGATCTGCCACAAATTTAGAGCCATCAACGAGATGATCAAACAGTTAGATGAAAAACTAACATCCTATTGGATCGCCTTAAAGATCAGAAGAATTAGAAGACTGCATAATGGTACGTAGAGAATGGTGGCTTGTTTCTTAGCGTATAAATTCGGAGTGAGTGACGTAAGTGGAACAGAATTTTCTGTTTGAAGGCAAAAATCTCCGAAGGGCATAGTTTAAAATCAAGGGCAAAATTTATCTTCTCTCTTCGAATTAAAACATACGACTTTTCTTCCTCGTCCCTCACTACTATACCACTATAAAACAATTTTCTCATAATTCTGTGCACTTCATCTTTATAATCAATCGATTTCTTGCAGAGATATGTTCCATAATAATGACAGTGAACGAAATTTATGGTATTGATCTGCTATTGTGTTCTACGAACGCTTTTATAATGGTGGTCGCGAAACTGTTTAGAATCTACATGAGCGCCGCGGAACAGAAAAGTGGTTTCATATTTCTGAACAACGTGATCTGGATAATTTATGTGTTTCAATTCATTTTGATGTGTTGGCTGTGTACACTGATCCACCGAGAGATAGATAAAATTGGGCTATATATCAGTAAATTTATACTGAACACACAACACTCGACGAAATTTAACAAATTGTCTTGCTTCGGTAACAAAGAGCCGGAGCAGTTAGGAATCTTCAATAATGAATGCCGTGGTAATGTCGCCTTGAACTTGAATGGATTCGGAATGGAAAGTCTTCTGCGATCAACTTTCGAACAAGACTGTGTTCGAAACGAAATCAATGATTTCTCATTGCAACTGAAACAATATAGAATTACGTTTACTGCGTGTGATTTCTTTGAAATGAACAATTCTTTGCTAACAAGAGTGAGTACCATAATATTTGATATTTATATGATGTTGTTAATTATATTCGTGTATATTTACTTTCAGTTTATCAGCGTTATCACCACGTACTTGATCATTCTGGTACAGTTCTATAAGCCAGAAGGTTTCTGAATATCAAGAATGAAAAACATTGATAAATCTGTCGAAATAAATCCTCTAGATACTCACAGAGATAAGTAAAGTAAATGTGTGTAAGTAAAGAGAGAGAGAGAGAGAGAGAGAGAGAAAGAGAGAGAGAGAAAGAGGGAGAGAAATGGGGAGAGGGAGAAAAGCAAGCAAGTAGGTAAGATGTGACGCAGATACAAATAAGTACACACGACGAAATACATTACGAGTTTTCAATACTTTTCTTACAACAAAATATAGTCTCTGATTTCAAAATATAAATATTTCTATGATAAATAAATATGAGAATCGATGTACAAAGCGATATTGAAATAAATAAGATGAAACGTAGAAAGATGTTCAGTTCAGTAGACAGTGTGTTGCATTTAGTCGACTTCTTCGATGGCTGGTTCTCGAGCACTCGCGCTAGGGAATCCATCCATCAGGTGCGGCCCCACCTTAATGCAATTAACTATAAGTAACTATAAAAAGAATTAACTACTAAGTAATATAACAATAGAATTGCAGATGGCTTCCAATTCTTTTTATTTATCGGCGAATTTTTCCTTTGCCGATTGATTCGCATACAACCATAAAATTACTTCGTTCCATTTATTGATAACCTCCTGCTTGTTAGACGAATCGCTCTTATCTTCTTATCCTCCATTATTGTACTCTTCGTGTTCAAACAGTAGAACGTCAAGGAATTCTTGGCAGCAATTCTATTGATCTTGATCTACCTTACAGTACATTTCCATTTTCTCCACCATACTGTTGATGGCTTCCTCCGATCGTTCTTGTTTCCTGACGGCAATTTTGTGCTCCTTTCCAGTTGATTTCTCAATGGCAGAGATGGTCAGAATACCACTTGCATCGATGTCAAATATTATTTGAATCTGGGGTACGCCCCTAGGTGCAAGTGGAATGCCGGTAAGCTCAAACTTGCCGACACTATTATTATCTATAGTCATAGCTCTGTCTCCATCGCATACATGGATCAGGACCTCAGGTTGATTATCGGAATACGTTGTGTAGGTTTTCGTTTCTTTTATTGGTATCCTCTTGTACTTCTCGATCACGGGTATCATGACACCACAAGCTCCTTCTATACCCAAAGGTAGGTTAATGATATCCACTAGCGATAAACGTTGAAGTACTTCCGACTTATCACCGAGCAAAATAGCAGCCTGTACAGCTGCGCCATAAGCAACAGCTTCGTCAGGATTGATCGATTTGTTGATTTCTGTGTAATCGCAACATATGTGATCTTGAAGTAATTTCTGAATCTTTGGTATTCTGCTAGATCCGCCGACTAGAACAAACTGGTCGAGATGGTATAGATTCTTCACAGCTAACGTAGCTATATTCAATATCCTTGTGAATAGATCCTCGCAAAGTTCTTCGAATTGCTCTCTGGTGATGTCTACGTAGAAATCAATGCCCTCGAAGAGAGAATCTATTTCAATCCTGGCTTTCGTTGATGAACTCAAAATTCTCTTGGCCTTCTCACACGCGGTTCTTAATCGATTAAGAACCTTGATGTTCTCGTCTGTCCTTATTCTTAAGTCTCTCCTGTAGTTCATCCTGATAGTTTTAACGAAATAATTCACCATTCTGTCATTGAAGTCTTCTCCGCCGAGATGACTATCGCCTACTGTATTTATGACTTGGAAATTACCATTCATAATGGTAACAACGGAAGCATCGAAGGTGCTACCTCCTAAGTCAATGATCAACGCGAACCTCTTTTCTGTGTCCTGTCTGTATAAACCATGAGCTATCGCCACCGCTGTTGATTCGTTCATTAGTCTCAAAACGTTTAGACCTGCAATTACTGCTGCATCTTTGGTGGCTTGTCTCTGAGAGATACTGAAGTTTGCTGGAACAGTAACAACAGCGTCGGTAACAGTCTTCCCTAAGTACGCTTCTGCTGTCTGCTTCATCTTCTTAAGCACCATCGAAGATATTTCTTCAGGGAAGAATGTCTTTATTGTACCCTTGTATAAAGCCCTAATCTTTGCTTTACCTTTATCACTTACCACCACAAAGGGCCAGTATCTGCTGTCTGTCTGTACCGTCTTATCATAGTAGCCACGGCCGATCAGTCTCTTCGTGTCTGTTTAATAGAACATATTACAACTTAATAATATATTACAAATAAAGATGGATTATAGAAATGTTTAAATGATATGTTAATAAAGGTAAGGAATGTGAACAATTTATAGAAATAATGAGGTATATAATTACATGTTATTTCTGTTAGTATCTATACTTCTTCGTGATGATCATTCCCATTAAACAGAATCAACACTCAATATCAACACGAAATATTTTATGAACACAAAAAAGAAATAATATTTCAGATATATGTAAAATAAAAGCATAAAGTAGTAACGTAGTTTCAGTCACGCGATAGTGCAGTGCGCAAAGGTATTCGGTATTACATTTCGTATGGTAAAAAGAAAACAAATACATACAGATATGAATGAATGTAGTACGTCTAATGATGAAAAAATAATGAATGTAGTGCATCTAATAATGATATATTTATATTAACGAAAAACAACAATTAATACCTGACACTGGCGTATCAAAAACAAAAACTACAGAAACAAAGATATTCTGTCTGTATATTGTTAACGCTGTTATAAGACGTTGTAAGGGCAAAAGAAGTGTGAAGCAGGACAAATGAAAAAGATCATTTAGTTCAAACAGTGAGTGAATGAGTCAGTAGAGTGAACCACAATAGTGACGCGTCGTAATGTAAGATGACATCCGCGAAGGCCACTATAGTGGCGCATCGTACCTAAGAGGTTAAGGAAGAAAGACGAATTAATAGGCAGTCGTTAACTGAGAGTCGAGTTGTGAAAAGTTAGTTAGTTACGAGTCAAAAGTTGTGTCGGGAGAGTTGAGTCAAGAGAGAGTTTCCGAATTGTTGTGAGTTGTGAATCAATTTAGTTGTATTAGTTATATCACATTACTGTATTTATTTCACGCTAAATAACCATCGTTTCCTGTTTAATCCATTGTAAATAGATCCATCTATCAATAAACTTATCATATAGGATAGAAATCATTTGAAATCCTAATTTCTAATATTTCTGAATAAATAATCCTATAATACGGTAATACAGATCAAAGAGCTAAAATAGGAAATAATGCAAATTCCGGAAATTATTCATAGCTCTCAATACAAATAGGCAAGGAAAAACAAAATTATGTCTTTCATCCCATCCTACGATAACTCTAAAAACATAAACTAAATTTTTCTAGCATTTATATCCATCATGATATCAAGTGTGAAATTTGTATCTTCTTTCATTTAAAAGGTCATTCCTTCTTTTTTGGCACTTACGTCGTTTGCCATTGAAACTCGACAACTATTATGATTAAATGAAAAAATATATATGAGAATTCAAAAATGGAAACTACACAATTAAGAGATGAGGATTAGAAGAAATTGATGTAGTAAATTCTGGATTGGTTTTATTTACCAAAGATAGTGCTAAACGGGTTCGTCTCGATCTGATCTTCGGCTGCTTCGCCGATCAGTATTTTTTCGTTTGTAAAGGCGACACAACTCGGTGTCGTTCGATTTCCCTGATCATTTGGAATGATCTTGACTTCTCCATGTTGGAAGACACTGACGCAGGAATATGTGGTGCCCAAGTCAATTCCAATTGCGGGAACTTCCGACATATTTTATCACTGCAAAAAATAAAATTTAAAAAATAGATTATCCCTTTGGGTACGAGTGTCGGCAAATAGCTACCCGGCCTATTCACAGTAGTATAAATAGTAGTATAAGTATAATATAAGTAGAATAAATTCACTTATAAAGTGGCTCGCGCAAGTCTATTTTTCTAAGCGATAATCTTATGCGTATTTACACATAATACGTGTATCTATGCAAGGATATACTAAACTAAACAGTATTACGTTTCTTGTGAAAAGAAAATTAGAGATCTTAGCGATGAAGTCTTATCTTCCGTTTAATGTAACTCACGATGTGTGATGATGGCAGAGTCAGAACGAATTTCAGTCTCTCAATGGCACTATCAGATGAATAGTCTTTTATATATGTCGGATTGGCACTGGGAGCGGGGTTGTGGGCGTCAAATGAATCTTCTCGAGGATTAGCCATTGATACGGTACACACAGGTGTAGTTTATTGCAATAATAGAATTATTACAGTCTTGACAATTGATCACGGCGGTTCGGCACTCGCGACACGAATGATAATGCTCTCGGGCTCAATAACGAATCCGCGGCCAACGGGATGACAACAGAACGTACTCACAAAGTCTAAGTCTGGTTAAAACGTGAAATAACCACCGATCGCGAAGACGTTACTCTTTTATCGATGAGATCGCAAGCGAGAATGCCTTTCCCGTCCCGATGATGCCACAGAGGAAAACTATATTGGGGTGTGTCTAAGGATACGAGATCATCGGATTCGTCGAGAAAAGCCTTCGTTCAGAAAGTAAGGGAAATTGGCGTTGCTGCTAATTGGTCAATCTCCATATCGGTGGTTAAAAAAAGATGCTAGCCGCCCTCGAGGGAAAGTTGCTAGTGGGAGACATCGCTCGTTGAAAAATATGTCTCCCCTATCTTCCCGTAGTTGGGACAGAGACTGTTTGTCTGTTTGAAGGACTTTAGTTAACTAAACCTTAAGATTTATAACGGGCCCTCGGGCTAGCCGAACATGTACTGCGGAGACGCATCGCCATCTGGCAATCATCTTACTCGAAGAATAGGGTCTGCATGTGGCGAGCCACGGGGCAGAGACCGTCCAGTGTTACAACTCTTTCCTTTTTAAGGAGAGCTATAGAATTATTCCATGCCTTTGTTAGACAACGCGTTCATCCCGTGCCCGCGACTACG